GGTGGCAAGGAAGGGGAGGGGAGGTGGGGGGGCAAGGAAGGGGAGGGGAGGTGGGGGGCAAGGCGGGGGGGAGAGGTTGGGGGCAAGGAGGGGAATTTGCTTCGCTGTATGCAAAGAGATGAGACACTCGAAGTCTTCGCTTCAGGTGATCGAGGTGGAGTTCTTCTATATGAGCGCGGAGGAGAAGGCGACCACGAAGGAGCTGCTGCAGTCGCGGGGATTCCAGCTCGTCTCAGACGGCGAACACAGGGACACCCTCGTCTTCGTGGATTCCGCGTGGTTCCGGGACAGGGCCGTGCTCTGAGTCGGCAATTATTTTTATTTTTATTATAATTAATTTACCGAAACGGTGGATTGTCCAGTTCAGAGCGAGAATTTGGTGATATTTTGGTGCAACCTCCTTCGTTTTTTTTTACTGACCCCTGTTTGTCCCTGAATGCAATAAATGCCAAGGCGTGAAAAGGGCATGCCAAGGACTAGAAGTCGACTTCGTTTCCTTCAGCTGGTGATACCCTTCTGATACACTGATACAGCTTCAGATGCTGATACACGGGCGGGTAAGGGTGGAAAATACCCGGGAGGGAATGAAATCTTCCTCCTTTTCGGCAAGTTTCCAGAGTTGAAGCTTTAAGAGATATTGTCATCTGAAGTAAAGTGGAGGAGAACGGCCACTAGTGGCAGCAATAGCAGAAATAGCAAAAATAGAAGAAATAGCAGAAATAGCAGAAAAAGTAGCAGAAATAGCAAAAATAGCAGAAATAGCAAAAAAGTAGCAGAAATAGCAAAAAAGTAGCAGAAATAGAAAAAAAGTAGCTGAAATAGAAAAAAAAAGCAAAATTGGCTGTGAAGTGCACCGAACTTTGTACGAGTCTCCTCCGCCGTCTTTTTAATTGAAATGTTAGCAATGAAACTTGAATTTGAAGTTTTAGGCTTGGCCTTGTTTTCAGATCAGGAATGTCCACGAAGTCCCACATTTTAGAGTAGGTCCCACATTTGGCACAGGATGCCAAAACCTTTTTTTTCTCTCGCCTTCTCTTTCCACTGCTCTGCAAAAGGACCTTCGCGGTTACGGTCTGCATTTTTCTGTGGGGAAAAGGCAACAGCGCATTTTTTTTTTCGCCGAAGAAATAAATGCATTTTAAATAAATGCTAAAATAAATGAATTTTGAATAAATGCTAAAATAAATGAAATTTGCCTAAAATAAAGGCAGAAGGTCGTTTCGGGTTACCAACTTGACAGCGTCGCGAAATCGTAGAAAGTTTGGCAAATTTTCCTTGACAAACCTGTCGCAATTACGTGGAAGACAGTCGCAAAAAGTGGAAAGTGGTCGCAATGTGTGGAATGTTGTCGCAATGTGTGGAATGTTGTCGCAATGTGTGGAATGTTGTCGCAATGTGTGGAATGTTGTCGCAATGTGTGGAATGTTGTCGCAATGTGTGGAATGTTGTCGCAATGTGCGATAAATTGTTATCGGGTGCTACTCAGCTCCGATTCATAACAACACGTCTGAAACCGTATGGCGTAAAGCACAGTTCTCATCACAAACACTCGCAAGGTTACCAACCTAACCGCATGGTCACCATCGTAACCGCGAGGTCACCAAGCATTCAAAAACCCGAAGTGAACCGATACAGTACTCAATTTTCATTCGAACCGACATCGAACAGCGTCTCAGCCCCGATACTGACATACGTGACTAGCAATTAAAAAAAGAAAGAAAAAAAAACACCAAAACAAGGATTCACTGGAGGAACTGCATGATCACAAGGCAGGGAAAGAGCCAATTAGCACCGTCGACTGAATAGCGGGGGGAAAAAAATACCGAGCGTATCACCGTTCACCGAGGCCAGCACTATCACAGAGTCCGAGGCGCCGCGAACCCCCGCGCTTTCCGCGAACCCACAAGTTTCTGCGAGCCCACAATTTTCAGCGAACCCACAGATTTTTTAACCTAAACCCACAGGTTCCACTCGAACCCACGAGTGCGGGTCGGCGCGAAGCGCGCGACGGCTCGGGCGAATTCGCCGACCTACGAGGGCGCGAGGATGAGCGGCGTGCGCTTCCTCGCCGCGAACGCGAACCACGACGCTCCGCTCCGCTTCTTCCCCGGCGTCGGCGACGACTCGGGCCGGTCCATGCTGGAGAGCAGCTCGGCGGTGAAGGCGGCGTCGAACTTGTGGCGCCTGGGCTTGCCTGCAAAAAAAATTCGCACGGTTCAGCAAAGATTTGCAACCGCATTGGCGACACGTGCAGATCGCTCTAAATGTCTCTTTCAATCGGCATGCCAATTTTAAGGCGTTCGAGACCATCCCGAGCTGTTCAGGAAATTCTGCATTATTTTCCCCTTGGATGGAAATACCAGCATTTTTCGGAAGGGCAAAATTTAAACAGCAATTCAACAGAGGCATGAACATGCATGACAACAGAAATACTTACTTTTCATTTTCATTAATTTCTTATATTTACCACTCCAGACGAGGTCGAAAAATAGGAAAAATTATAAAACCGGAAAAAAATGAAAAATAGAAAAACATTTAAAATAGAATTTATTTATAAAAATCTATTTATAAAATAGAAAAACATTTAAAAAATAGAAAATTTTAAAATAGAAAAAAATATGAAAAATATGAAAATAGTTTCGGCTGAACGTACTTTTCGGCCGCTTGGGCTTGTGCCTGCCCCGCCTGGCCGCCAGCATGGCCAGCTTCTTGTCCTCCGGCGAGATGGAGAGCCCGTAGTCCCGGTCGTGCTCCACCTGCTTCCGCTCCACCGCGAGCGCCTCCATCCACCGCTCCTTCTCCTCCACCGTCCGCGCCGCGAACACCCACCAGAGGTTCCGGCGGAAGTCGAACATCTTCCACGCGTTGCGGAGCACGATGTTGAACTGGGGGTCTGTGGGGGGGAAAGCACGATGACCTTTACGGCCAGCCTTTCTGCGTTAATTGCCTTAAAAACCTAAAAATTACGAAAATGTGATGAATTTTCCGGATTCCCCAACTTCGTATCTATATTGATGAATTTAACCTAAAAACAGGTCGATCCAAAATATCGCAATATTTTCCCAGATGCAAACGTTCACCCCTCGCGAAATGACGCTCAACATCACGAAGAATGATCGAATCATTTTTTTCTTAGATTCCCTCGAACGCCTAGGACAAGAAAGAACGGCAAGGACTCACCTCTCCCATCGAGGATATCCAGCACTTGACAGTTGTCCAAGCAGATCCTGCCTCTGAACAACAGACAGTTCTTCTTCAGCATGTCCTGCGAATGAATTTTTTTTATAATTATTTAATGTGTCCCCTGAAAATGTGTCCCCTGACGTGTGTCCCCCGGGAGTCCCGATCGCAGGCGGCTCACCTTCTTGCAGAACACCAGAAGGTGGTCGAAGAGGAACAGCGTCACCTCCTTCACCCTCCCCGTGTTGGTGATCTTGAGCGCGTCCCCCTGCCGGATGAGGTGGGAGCTGGACTCGAGGATGCCCGGCCCCTCCCACCCCTCGATGGCGTTCTCCCAGGTGGCCAGCTGCTCCAGGTTCTCCAGGCGCCGCTTCCGCTCGTTGATGGACTGGGCCAGGTAGGTCATCTCTTGGAGCGCCTGCTCCAGGGGGTCGTAGTCCGGGTGGGAGTTCTGCGGGGGACATGAGGGAGGTTCAACGTTTTTTTTGTTGATTATTTTTCTGCAATATATTTCGTTAGCACTTATTCTATGTTTAATTCCCTTTTTCTTAGATGATATATTTTTTGCTATCAATAGTTATTTCGTTATATCATTACTACGCTGGCATTGTTATCCATCCGTGTCATATCTTGTCGTGCGCTGCCCCCATTCATTCAAACCAAGCATGCGAGAAGTGTGTGCCTCGAACACGACGGCCCCACCTGCGTGTACTTGAGGAGCTCGGCCAGCTGCAGCGGGTACTTGCAGATTTTCTGCACCGGCGTGAGCAGGAAGCCGTCGAGGGAGATGCCGATCATCTTCTGCCTGAGGCGGCAGGCCTCCAGGAAGTGGACCTTCCGCCAGTCCCCGTACATGTCCTCCAGCACGGAGATCCCGTGGGGGTGGTTGTTGCAGTAGGCTGAGTACATCTCGAACGAGTTTCTCTGCCGATTTGCGATTGGCACAATATTAGACGCACATTCCGGATTTGCGATGGAAATTGCCAATAAATTAGACGAACATTCCGGATTTGCGACGAAAATTGCCAATAAATTAGACGAACATTCCGGATTTGCGACGGAAATTGCCAATAAATTAGACGAACATTCCGGATTTGCGACGAAAATTGCCAATAAATTAGACGAACATTCCGGATTTGCGACGAAAATTGCCATTAAATTTGACAAATATGTCGGATTTGCAGAACAAATTTTCGCAAAAGTTAGCCAGAAACTCCAGACTTATGATGGAAGTTACCAAAACAATGAGTTAAACATGGAATTCCATTGTTCAATTCTAATAATATTGTCAAATAATTTGCCATTTCCAATGCCTTCGCAGGAAAGCCACGGCATCCAGGAAAAGAACTGGAATTAACTTGCAAAAAAAAAAAAAAATTTGCAAGGACGCCCAAAAACGCTTACGTGCCGCAGGAACACAGAACCGATGCAGGTGAGATGCGGCCGGTCCCAGACGATCGACGCCTGGAGGTCCGTCACGAACTTCTCCTGGAAGTCGAATATGGTCTCCACGTTCCCGAAGATGAGGATGATCTGCTCGATCGTGAACATCTCCGGGCGGCGCTCCATCTGACGGATGTAACCCTGGAGCAAGACAGAGCAAAAAATATATATTTTTTAAAATGCAATAAATAAAGCCGAATTAGCAATATGGATTATTAACCAAATTTGTTGGCTTTCCTCTATTTTAGAGGCACAAGCTCGGAATGCACTAAACAATTACTACAGGAAGATTTGAGCATAACTTTTCAGAGGAAAGCAATTTCTTGAATGGGGTTTTGCTTAGGAAATTATCACCGAACAAAATTTATTAACATATATTATTATTTACATAAATACATTGAAATTCGATCTCATACCTGAACGATATCCCTGAGGTTGTTCAAGAAATCCAGCTCCGACGAGAGGATCTCCTGGATGATGTTGGCCCGTATCCTCTCCTTGGAGACGGCCGACCTGGCCTCCACCTGGCCGAAGGGCAGCGGCGACGTGTGGCACGAGTGCATCCCCGACCCGCTCGCCTTCGGCGCGGCGGCGCGGGGCGAGTCCCGCACCGTCCGCGAGGACGGGGAGGGGTGCAGGGACTTCCGAGCGTCCTCCTCCTCTTGGTCCACCCGTAACTGGATTGGAGGGCAATTCCTTAAATTCTCGTGAATTGCAAAGCAATCTCTTGAATTCCCCCAAAAATTGCAATGCAACCTCTTAAATTCTCATGAATTACAATGCAATTTCTTAAATTCCCAAAAATTACAATGCAATCTCTTGAATTCCCCCCAAAATTTAATGCAGTCGCTTAAATTCCCATGAATTGCAATGCAATCTCTTGAATTCCCATACTCACGCTACATCATGACCAACCTTCTTGGAGGATACTCGGAACATGGAATGCCTGCGTTCTTAAACAAAACTTACCGCCATCTCTCGTTTTCTTAAATGAGTGCAAATTGCCGCGTCTGAGCGCCCTGATGAAGTACAAGTTGCCGCAAGTCAGCGCGCCCCCCGAGTACACATTGCCTCTCGATTGCACCCAGCGCCGGTCAAAGAAAAACGAATCGCGGCTCACCCTGACGGCTGAAGCGGGGAACCACCCGGACTGAGAGCCGATCACGCCCCACCACCAGTTGGGGAAGGAGCGGTCGATGACTTCGATCGTGTCCCCGGCCCGGAAGCGCAGCTCCTCCTGGTCCAGGGTCGGGTGGTCCCAGAGGGCCTCGGCGAGGAGCACTCCGTCCTGCTGTTAAATATATATTAAATAAATTAAATATATTAAATACATTAAATATATTAAATGCATTCAATATATTAAATAAATCGATTTAAATATTCATTTGAATGAGTTGTTTATCGAGGTCGTTGACGGAAGTCCATATAAATAATATTGTGATTTATGAAATGGGGCGATTTGTATGCATGGTAAGTGGTACTGCTTGAATTAAATAGTGAGCATCTCGTAATAAGTTGTATCTTTTGGTATGAATATTTCAGATCCGAGAGGTAATTCCCGTCGAAGTGGGAGGTCGTCCTTGTCCGAGTGGGAGGTCGTTCCCGTCAGGGCAGTCGACGTTGCGCGAACGGCCGCGATAAAGTGATGCCGTGTCTGATGCCGGATGCCGGATGTCGGCTGTCGCACGGCTCTCCCGGGTGCCCTGCCTGGCGATTCCTGGGCAGATGGCGCGGAACCGGTTTCTCTTGGGATGCTCTGAATGGACGAGCCGCTGGCAGGTGGCCGGGTTTTTTTTTTCGGGTGACTCACGCCGAGTCCTTGAAAGGAATCCTTCGTCCTCCCTTTATGCGACAGGTGACAATCGACGGAAGAACAGTCGGCAGAGGGACGGTCGGCAGAGGGACGGTCGGCATAAGGACAGTTGGCCGAAGGACGGTCGCATGGACGGAAGGCGGAAAAGAATCGCGAAATATCGATTCATCGACCACATGGCGCACTTGACATGTACCCGACCTGTCGCGGTCAGGTGCGGAGCGACCGCTCATGCCAGGCGAACCTGCTCATTCGCTTGTGGGACACTCAGTGCCCGCCTTGAGGATGGACTTGAGTGAATTTTTCTAAAGGTCAATTTAGTTGCCCCAGATTGACGCGGTGTGCTGACGCTCCCCCAAGTTTCTCGTGCTACTATGGAATCTAATCTATGATCTACTATCTACGATCTACTATGGAATCATAATTAACCCAGATTAATCATTGTTGGCTGGGATTATGCATTGGATGACTCATCATCAACCGTGCTCAATCGCAGTCTATTGGTCCACCGGCACCCGTCGATAAACCTTGGATTTGAGCTTCTCAAGAGGGTCAGGAGGTCCACGACGTTGCCCTTGGGTAAAAGTGATGCCATCAAGCTGAAATGGCTCCCTGAAATGACTCCCTGAAATGGCTCCCTGAAATGGCTCCCTGAAATGGCTCCCTGAAATGGCTCCCTGAGGCCCAGGGGTTACCGGTTGCTTGAAGGGAACTCTCAAGCTTCGAAGGGAGTTAAGTCTGTTTCTATGGGTTTTCAGGGAACCATGAGGACAATTTCATCTCCGGGGACCCACCCGATGCTGGTCGAGCGACATCTGCGACCCGGTCGAGGACGTGGAGGAGTTGAGCAGGTCGTCGTCCGACAGCGTCCCCGCGTGGTGGCCGTTGGAGCAGTGCGTCGGGCCGGTCGCGTCGTCCGAGCCGGGCGCCGGGGCGTTCAGGTCCGACGGCTGGCTCCGGGACCGGCGCAGGGAGGAGGTGCCCGGCCAGCGCTTCATCCCCGGACTGGTAACAGAATTCAGACGACATAGAGGATGCGGAATAGGTATTGGGACATTTCATGGAATAGGGACATTTCATGAAATTGGGACATTTCATGGAATAGGGACATTTCATGAAATTGGAACATTACATGGAATTGGGACACTTCATGGAATTGGAACATTTTGTGCAAAATCGGGACACGTTGTGCATTCGGGACATGTCATGGAATTGAGATACTTCGCGTTATCGGGACATTTCACGGAACCGGAACATTTTCGTGCAATCGGGACGTTACGTGCGACGTGAATCGGAGCGCGATGAAACAGCAGCTTGTCTCATGAATGGCTTGACCCCTTTGCATGCAAGAGATAAGATGCCGGGCAAAGACAATATTATGATTTATAATTGCATACATAAATCATATTATATATGATTTTATTTATATATGATTTATATAATTACGTATATAAATCATATATAAGCATATAAGAATCAGAAGTTAGCTAAAGGAAGGCGGATCGGCCGGATGAGTAAGCAGGAGAAGGGTAAGGGTTAGCAAGGGTAAGCAAGGGTAAGCAAGGGTGAGTAAGGGTGAGTAAGAGTAACCAGGGGAATGACCCGAAGGAATGTCCTGGCAACAAGATAGGTACCATATCGTGCTCGTATCGCGTCGCGATGCGTTGCACGGACACGGATTTCCGAGTCTCCGGCAGCGATATTATATCAGAGAAAAATGCAATTGCGGGGTGAAGTGGCTCAGCTCTTTCAACAAGAGGCAATATTGCAAGGGATTCCCCCCTCCCATTTTATTTATTATTTATTATAATTTTTTTTTATCACGGGGGAAACTTCCTTTCTTATCTGGAATTCCTCTACGAATTCGACGGAAACAAGCCATGAAATTGCCTGTTTTTTTTCCGGATCTCGTCCAGGCAAGATCCGCCGAAACAGGGCAATTGCAGAAAATCTCAGGGCAATTTTGTACCCGTCGCTGCAAAAAAATATATATATATATATATATATGGAGCGATCCCATCGCCGCCCAAGTCGACACGGCAATTTCGCCAGGCCTCGTATCTAACATAGCAGGACAATTGCGACAGGAAGTTCCTCCAGCCTGTTATCGTCGTTCCTGCGTCTCTGGGGCGTACAGCCCTCGAGCCTACCATCTGTCGCTTCTCTCAGCATCGATTCGGCATCGATTCAGAGTGAAGTTAAACCGCGACGAAGCTGGAATTTCGTGCTTATTGCAACTAGTCGACACAGAGGTGACATGTAATTGACATTTAATTGACACTTAATTGACACTCAACTATGACCTTTTTTGACTCTCTGCGGAAACATGTTTGGCATCTGGCTGAAACGCGTTTGACACCAATTCGACACCTAATTGGCATCTTTTCCGCTCCCTCAACGACGCAGTCGCCACGTCAGCACATTATCTGCTGATTAACGCTGACGCGGACGAGATGCCACAATGGGAATGGATCCATTGAAACGCGGGCGATTAAGTCCATTTTCGTTTCGTAAGAATGCAATGGCTGACGCAGGGGAAACGGTCTGAATGGCGCCACCCGAGAACGACCTGGCCACCTGAGATCGCCACTTGAGAGCTGACTGGAGAGCTGGCCTGATGAAGTGGGGGGGAGACCTGAAAAACCGCATGAGGCGCGGTCGCAGGCCTGAGATTTCCATTCACCAGTTAAGTTCGTCCAGTTCTCACTAGATGTCACCCGCGTTCGGGTGGAGCCCTCGCCCACATTCTCGCGCTCAAGGAAGGGAGGATCGAGGCGAGGGACTCCATCCGCCTCCATCTCCGCCTCTAATCCCTTCGCCCGAATTGAAATGCCAGGCAACGAAGTCCACGAGGGCGAAGCAGAGGTGAAGACGAAAGGGCCATGCCACCAGATTAATTCAATCCCCCAAGTCGACACTCTTCAACTTCCGACCGCTCATGACTCTCCTTTGAAAAATGATTCCGGAAAGTGGAGGGAGTCCCGATTATCTACGAATGACTGTGTTTACCTTATCTGCCCAACTTCCACATCAAATTGCAACATCAGTTCACATTTCGTTGACCAATGGGTAGCGAGGCCTCACCTGTCAGCAGTTTGCGGAGCTTGCACCACTCGCTCCCCCCGTCCCCCGTCCCCGGGGACCGACGGGTACCCGTTCGGTACCCCCCCGGGCGGCGCGGACGTCTTCCTCGCCTCCTCCAGCGCCCACCGCTCCGAGTTCCACAGCTCCATCGGCTCGCTCTGCTGTCGGGGGAATGATCGACGATGATCAACAGGGGCTTATCGCGTGTCTTTGTGGCTTATCGCGTGCGGTGTGTCTTTGTGGCTTATCTCGGGTGGGATGTGCGTTTCTGTGTGTGTTGGGCGTATTTCATCGGAATGTGAGTCCTCGAGAATGCAGGGATGACTATAAAAGGTAAAAATTCTATGCCTGCAGTCTCAATAATGTATTTTATGTATTTCAAATAATGTATTTTATGCATTTCAAATAATACATTTTATGTGTTTCAATTATTTTATTTCACGTGTTTCAATTAATGCATTTCATGATACTAATTTCTGATTTCATTGCCACAGGAATGGTAAAAGAAAAAAAAAGAAGCGAGTGCGGGACAGGAAGGGCAATTGCCCTGTCAGGCTGCTTCATGCATCGCCTACCTTTCGGGTGTGTGACGCTTGATTGTACGAATTGGCGATCGAGAAGGACGGTGAGAAAGATCTCGCGACGTTCATCTGCAATTGGAATATAAAAAGTTCGCGAAATTTTATCATTATGAAACTCTTCCTCAAATACTGATATTAAATAAAATAATGTAGAAAATAAATCATATCTAAAAATTATTAAATGAATTCAACTTTTCCCTAAAATTCTTAATTATGATGAATAAAACGAATCAATAAAGGCAAGCATAAAAACGCTCAATCTGCCTAAATCAACAGGTTGAACACCTGGAAGCACCCTGTTCAACCATGTGTTCAACCATGTGTTCAACCATGTGTTCAACACCGAGTCGAACGAACCTCGTTGAAGTTGCGAGACGGCGAGGAAGGCGGCCCCAGTCGACCGAGGGGGTCGATCCCGATGCCGCTGTCGCCGCTATCGCCGCTCAAGCGGTTCTTCGAGCTGCTCCTCGAGTTCCCATTCATCCTGCAAGGAATAAAAAAAATTAAGCTGTAGGTTAAGTCTTCGCTTAACTTGAGGGAACTTGGGTTTAATTTTTTTTTACTTTGAAATTGTTATTATTATTTAAATCTATGAATTTTATCATTTTTTTCTGAATAGTTTGAACAATTTTTGAAACTCAAATCTGAGTTGAAGCTTAACAATATGTTGAACTTAAGTCTCGCTCAACATTGAATTTCACTTAAAAAAAAAAGACTTGACGAAAACTTGTCGCAAACGGACTTGTTGTCGACGGTCGCGGGCTCGATCCGCCAGTCGGTGGGGAGGGGCTCCGCGACGGTGCTGCCGCGGCGGTTGAACTTCAGCATCAGGTTCTTCCGCAGCCGGCCGAGGAGGGTCGCCTGGTCTGCAAGGCCGGTAAAGGACAGAAGGGTCAGTCAAGGACCAGGCTTCTTAAAAATAAAATATAAATATATTTGGTGTTCCTTAAGTAAGTTGCGGAGTTTTGTTTTTCGTATTTAACTTTTTTATTTCTGCTAATTCTTGCGGTATTTAAATATTATACATTGAAACAATTGTGAAACTTTGATATTTAGGATGAATCCTTATGTTTTCACATGAACTAAATCTACATCTTTTACGCGTTATAATTGCAGATGCCTGCCCTTTTTGACATCTGTCCATATCTCCTAACCGTAACTTACTTATGGAACACCTTGTATAGTATACTGTAGATAACAAGAGGAAATGGCATATACAGGGTTGCCCAAAAGCACTCGAACCCTGTGAATGCACCGATATGTGCCTGATATCTTTCCCATCCGATGCCTCAACGCCAGGGTCGAGCAACTTTTGAACCACCCTGTAGATAGACGCTGTTGGCGGAAGTCGGTTGCTCGATCTGAGTTACTGGGAAAGCTGAGGCGGTTGCCATGAAACAATCTGCACAGCTGCAAAGCCCGTGAAATATAATCCCGATATGAAATATATATGATAATACACATATTTATCTTCGTTGGATACCGGTTAAACCGTAAATCAGAGCACGAGATAAGGTCGATGCATATTTCACCTCGAGGTCCTGCCTCTCAGCCATCTGTAACTGAACCGCGAACTGCTAGATAACCCAACTGCCAAGTAACCCAACTGCCAACTGACAAGTCGGCAAGTGGTGATTGCTGAATGTTAAGTCGCTCATTTAATATAAGTTACCTGCAGTATTCACCGCGAGGACCTGTCACTAAGGACCTTAATGCCCTTTTTCTTCTTTGGTGGCCGGGATCACACCCATGAAGGATTCTTGATTAAGACCACACCCTTCAAGGGTTCTTGAATTTCCGCCCGCAGCAGAATCGAAGTACTAAAGTACTGGTACTAAAAAACCTAGAACAACACCATAACCGGCTCGGCACAGCGAACGAGCCGATCCAGATCACCACTGCATTCGTACTCAGCGAGACTGTGCAGTGTTTACGAAGGCGGTCTACGGGGTGGGTCGAAAGGGACTTCGCACTTCCGAGTCCAAGGCCGATGCCAACTAAGCAGGAATCTTGGAACCGATGTCAAGCGGCATTCCTGTTAGTGAAACGATGATCTTCGATCATCGATGATCCTTGATCGATGATCTTCGATCGAATGGCTTCCTTATCATCGCAATTCAGGTGTGATGCACTCGCATCCAGCTTCGACTCATTAACGAATGGCAATAATTTTTTGGGGGCACCCTGTGCGCCCATGACATCCCAGTCTGCGACATGACATCCCAGTCTGCGACGTGACAGCGAGTCTGCGATACCTTCGGAGGAGATGCTCCTGTCGGATGGGAATTCCCTCCCGAGGTGGGGGAGGGAAACGGGCTCCTCGGACTCCAGCATGGACCCGGTGAACACCTCGGACTTCGGCCTCCTGCAATCAATCAATCAATCGATCGATCAATCAATTGATCAAGCGGATGGCAGGCCGGAATGCCTCGACCGCGGATGTATGGAATATATCAAAATACATATCAGTGGTTTATTATTATTATATGGGACTGCGATCTATATACAATGCCATGAATTTACGATAAACTTCCTGAGATTTATACGCGAAGCATCCCAGGAATTTGATTTAAATAAATAAAAAATTCGCATTAACATAATTCAAACTCCAATGACCCGAAACAGGACGAACAAAAAAAAATCACGAAAAGAATCCGTTTAACTCCTTCGGACGGTTGCTAACGAGCGGACCCGACTGGCCCCGTGGAGGATGGATGACGGTCCTTCAAGGTCCGGTTGTGGCGATGAGCTAATTAAGGACGCAATTTCGAGCGAAGGAGCCTCCTACTCGTGCAGCTATTTATGCCGGTCGGCTGCCGACCGCAAGTGTTCGCAATTTTCTCGGTTTTGGCGATGCTTCAGATCTGAATTGTTTGAAGGGAAAACTGGATGTTCATCAGACAAAAGCAGGATGAGGGCGAGATGAATTACGCAAACACAGATGAATGAATCATGGGAATCCCTTCAGAAAATAATACAATTCACTTAATAATAATTTATTTAATTTATTTAATAATAACAATACAATAATTTACTCGAGAGAAGGCTTTTTGTATCCATTCTAGAACATTTTCGCATCGCCCGTAATTGCCATCATCGCCACAAGCGGCATCCTACTTGATTCATTCCCATGAACGCCTATTTGATCAACTACGTTTTACGATTTTTTTTTGCTTTTTTTGTGCTTTACCAGTAGCTCCACAATTGCTCCGATACTCGCGGGATTACATTGCACGCACTCGGCCCAGTGATTTTCTTCAGGCCCTCACAGGGTCCGTTTTCCAGCGTGCCCAATATGACTGGCGCGACATTCACTTCATCCGAGCGGTCATGACCTCCACCGAGCTTCACGGCTGGAAGCAGATGGAAGTCGCACGGGAGGGAAGGGAGGGAAGAGCATCCCAGTTTCCCAATGCAGCGATCATCCTCCGCCAGACGAGCGGAGCCGCATGAAGGATGGATGACTCAGGCTCGCGCGTGTGCCTCCTTTTTGGGAAATTCCGACTCGCGCTTTCTCCCCGTGCGACTTCCATCTACTTCCGACGATGAGGTTTTGCCATGACGGCTCGGATGAAGTGAAGGCAGCAGCGGCTGCATAGGAAGCCCAGAAAAACGGGCAGAAAATCGAGGATCGTTGGGCCAAGTCCATCTAATAAGGGAGGTCACTTGAAGCATTGAAGCCATCGAGCGACCATTACGAGCCACGCTTCTCGCATGGCCAATGGAGTCTCAGAACGTCCTGGCCACCCGCCGTGTAGTAATTACGGAGAAATTGAGAGAGATTGACCACCGATTGACCACCGATTCCCTCGAAACGAGGTCAATCATATTTCGCATCTTCATGCAAATCGCGCATTCGATTGCCCCGGTCGAGAAGGATCGCCACGGATGGAAGAACACTTGCGCAAGCCGGAACTATTTATCCATGCAGGGACCTCGTCGGAAGATAATGAGCCATTCTTGGCACCATGACGACAGGAAACGACCCATTAGCTCCAGGTACCAGAACCGACCAGCGGGGGATTAGGAGGGACCGAGAAGTACCGGCGTCGGGGAGCGTGCCTGCGCGTTTCATACTCGAGCGTCTCCGCGGCCAATGCCAATAAATCATCGACGACCCATTGGCACATGGTCGTTTCCTTGAGAAAGTCCCGATGAATTCGGCCATGCGCTCCGAACAACTGTCCATTACAAGCACCCGCCATCCGAGCCCATTACAAGCACCCGCCATCCGAGCCATTACAAGCGGCCATCGTCCGAGCCCATTACAAGCGGTCATCGTCCGAGCCAATTTCAGGCTCCGATTGACTCGTGCTCGCATTGCTGGTGAAATAAAGCAAACGACTCAATATCGTGAAAGCATGCGAAAATGTTCTCAATAAAATTCATCCATAAATTTCTTATGAAATTGGAAGGACAATATTACTGCTATGATTTTAGGGAGTTAATAAAATATTTAAAATTCTAAATTCCTCCAGGAATTTTTCCTTGAAACGAATCGACGGGCGAAGTGGCATCTCTCGCCTCAGATCCCGCATGAGGCCTTCGGACGCTCTCGGGAACCGAAGGCCGGGAATTCCTCGCCTCGCAGGCCCTTATCATCCCCGGAATGCACACACACACCCAACGACAGAGTGCAGATAACGGAATTCCCATTCTCATCTCCGCAGGTGACGAACGCTCCCCCGTCGCGCTGCGTCATCCCGCTCCGACGCGTCCACTCCCATTAATTGCCTCCGCAATTTCGAAATTGCCGGGCGAAATTCGTGCAATCTGCCGCATGTCCCTTCCGGGACGATAGAGCCCCGCGCGGAACGGATTTGCAGAAAGGGCCTCGATAGAGGCCTGCACGTCTCGAGTCCCACCTCCACCTTGCCCGAGCAGGGCTCTACTCGCGGCGGAAGGACGCCTTTCTCTTCCGCGCATTCCTCTTAATTTCGAGGAAGGTTAACTTGTTAAGCTAACTAATCCTCTAACTAATCAATTACCGGAGCCGCATACTCTCATTATAAATGCATGAAATTATTAATTAATTATAGAAATCCGAGCAGACCTTGACCTGGAAATCCAGCGTTTAAATATTATTTATCATTATTTTTCGCTAAGCTCCGCGCAAGGGCTTCCCCCCCCCCCCCCTCCCCCCCCCCCCCCCCCCCGGTCAGCGGAAATTGATTAGGCTAATCCATTCTCTGAAAGGGATTAATGGTCGGGTGCGAAGATTTCCAGAGGAAATCTGAGTTATTGCCATAGATCATATGTCATATCAAAATCAACATTTTATGCGAATAATTAATTGCGAAGAGTGCTGGCACCCCTGCCAATACCGGTCTTAGAACATCTCAAACTCAAAATTTACTTTAAAAAATTTTTTTCTGCTTCTTTTTCCCCTTACATTTTTAGAAGCAATATTTTCAATATTATTTGTCTCTTTAAATGTTGTAATTTTATTTACCCAAACCCTTTTATTTATGCTGCTAGGGGGCCAAATCAAAATTTTGGAAGAACATGGCCTCTCCAGGAATCCCTCATGCAACCCTGGGGAATCCCTCATGCAACCAGGGTAATCCCTCATTTAATCCCGGGGAATCCCACACCTAATCGGGCTTAACCCACACAATCGACCCAAAAAAGCGGCGAACCTGTGGTGATTCCGCTGAAGACTGGACTCGCTGATCCGGGGCCGCCGGTGGACCCGGCCCGGCCGAGGGTGACTCCTCGAGGAATCGCACTCCCGCGCGGAATCCCGATCCTCCTCCACCTGCGAACCGACCCACAGCACTGCATTTCCACCCGGGATTATCAGAGGAAGAAATGGGAAAAAGCCCGGTTCTCCTTGGGCTCGGGACTGGAACGAATTCTTCGCTCAAGGCTGCATGCACTCCGAGCACGGAAAAAAAAAATCGCGGACCGTATTACCCTTTTCCGGAAATTTTTTTTAAATCTCGCTTCCGGAATTTTGTTTTTCTCTACATATGTAAATAATATATTCGGAACATCTGGCGGATTTACGAAAAAAAAATTATTTTATGCTTAGTCGCTAGGCATGCGACAAGGACGACGACAACCTGGACATAAATCAGTCGCTCGCGGATATAAATCAACCGGTCGAACCGTTTTTTTTTCTTTCCATTTTAGCATATGTAAATAACAAAAATATATATATATATTAAATACCTTTAACGTCGAGCTGATATTGCGAGACGGGGATTCCGGAACTGACGTCACTTCCTGGGCAGTGATGTCGGATGGCGTTCCATTCTCGTCGCCAATTCCCTTCCTCCACGGGAATCGGATACTGAAATTAAGTAATTATATATAAATATAATTATATGTAATTAATAGTGGTTGCGGTAGGACATCTGTAACCAAAAACCACGATGGGATGTTATTAAAATCTGGTTCAACTAAGGTTTCATAGCAAAATTTTTCGTGCGAACTGATTGCAATCGTTCGGAATTCCGTCGCAAATTTTTTTTGCGACGAAAAATGTCTGCTACAAGATTTCACCTGTTCTCGTCTTCGTCGCAGGGCACGGAAGGGACCTCGGCGATTCGGGTCAGCCGAGAATCCAGGGAAAAGGCTCGTCTATAGTCTGGGTTGAAGGTGTTGTCGCTGTCGCCGTCGTCGTCGTCGCAACTGCGACCACCGAAAGGATTTAGCCTGTCTTTCTTTTCCCTGTAGGCGTCCAGGACGCGGAAAAGCGAGAATTTGCGTCGTCTGACGCCGGCGTCCGACTCCGGCGGACTCCGGTCGTCCGAATCGAGGTAGAACACGGATCGGCGTTTGTCGCGGAACGGTCGCTGGATCGCGACCGCGTCGTCGCAGACCGCGACGGAATGTCGTCGCTTCACGTCCGCGTGCTTCGCGACGCTGGTCCGGGCGCCATCGTCGCCCGAGCCGACATAGAACACCGACTGTCGCTGAGTCGCGACGGAGCGACCGAACAGCGCGACGGAATGCCGTCGCTTCACGTCCTTCCGGCTCGCGAACGGCGTCGCCTGCCGCACCTCGTTCGCCGTCTTCTCCCGCTCGTCATCCACTCTCGCGAACATCAAAGCCAGGCTCCTCCGCCGTCGCAATTTCACCGAGCCCTCCGCCATTCCTCACTATTTACTCACAGTGTCTCGCATTCAAACGACACAGTCGTCGACACAGTCGTCGACACAGTCGTCGACACAGTCGTCGACACAGTCGTCGACACAGTCGTCGACACAGTCGTCGACACAGTCGTCGACACAGTCGTCGACACAGTCGTCGACACAGTC